GGACTCAGAGAGACACAAGGAGAGCTGGAGCTTTGATGGAGTCAGGACTCAGAGAGACACGAGGAGAGCTGGAGCTTTGATGGAGTCAGGACTCAGAGACACGAGGAGAGCTGGAGCTTTGATGGAGTCAGGACTCAGAGACACGAGGAGAGCTGGAGCTTTGATGGAGTCAGGACTCAGAGAGACACGAGGAGAGCTGGAGCTCTGATGGAGTCAGGACTCAGAGAGACACGAGGAGAGCTGGAGCTCTGATGGAGTCAGGACTCAGAGAGACACGAGGAGAGCTGGAGCTCTGATGGAGTCAGGACTCAGAGAGACACGAGGAGAGCTGGAGCTTTGATGGAGTCAGGACTCAGAGAGACACGAGGAGAGCTGGAGCTTTGATGGAGTCAGGACTCCGAGAGACACGAGGAGAGCTAGAGCTTTGATGGAGTCAGGACTCAGAGAGACACGAGGAGAGCTGGAGCTTTGATGGAGTCAGGACTCAGAGACACGAGGAGAGCTGGAGCTTTGATGGAGTCAGGACTCAGAGACACGAGGAGAGCTGGAGCTTTGATGGAGTCAGGACTCAGAGAGACACGAGGAGAGCTGGAGCTCTGATGGAGTCAGGACTCAGAGAGACACGAGGAGAGCTGGAGCTCTGATGGAGTCCAGGACTCAGAGAGACACGAGGAGAGCTGGAGCTTTGATGGAGTCAGGACTCAGAGAGACACGAGGAGAGCTGGAGCTTTGATGGAGTCAGGACTCAGAGAGACACGAGGAGAGCTGGAGCTTTGATGGAGTCAGGACTCAGAGACACGAGGAGAGCTGGAGCTCTGATGGAGTCAGGACTCAGAGAGACACGAGGAGAGCTGGAGCTTTGATGGAGTCAGGACTCGGAGAGACACGAGGAGAGCTGGAGCTTTGATGGAGTCAGGACTTAGAGAGACACGAGGAGAGCTGGAGCTTTGATGGAGTCAGGACTCAGAGAGACACGAGGAGAGCTGGAGCTCTGATGGAGTCAGGACTCAGAGAGACACGAGGAGAGCTGGAGCTTTGATGGAGTCAGGACTCAGAGAGACACGAGGAGAGCTGGAGCTTTGATGGAGTCAGGACTCAGAGAGACACGAGGAGAGCTGGAGCTCTGATGGAGTCAGGACTCAGAGAGACACGAGGAGAGCTGGAGCTGTGTATCCAGACAGCTGAGGGATGGGGACGTGTGTGTGTGTGTGTGTGTGTGTGTGTGTGTGTGTGTGTGTGTGTGTGTGTGTGTGTGTGTGTGTGTGTGTGTGTGTGTGTGTGTGTGTGTGTGTGTGTGTGTGTGTGTGTGTGTGTGTGTGTGTGTGTGGTGTGTGTGTGTGTGTGTGTGTGTGTGTGTGTGTGTGTGTGTGTGTGTGTGTGTGTGTGTGTGTGTGTGTGTGTGTGTGTGTGTGTGTGTGTGTGTGTGTGTGTGTGTGTGTGTGTGTGTGTGTGTGTGTGTGTGTGTGTGTGTGTGTGTGTGTGTGTGTGTGTGTGTGTGTGTGTGTGTGTGTGTGTGTGTGTGTGTGTGTGTGTGTGTGTGTGTGTCCAACCATGAACATACATCTCCACTGACCAGCTGCTCTGTAGACAGGCTGTCTTCAACATGCGTTTGTGATACAACAAAGCCTTAAAGCGTCAAATCCATCTGTCAGCTTCATCCACTCCTCCTTTCTCTCTGACGTCTGTTTACTTTTTAAGATTTAACAAACTGCTGTTCACTTTCAAATCAAGTCACTCTGCAGGAAAGGAGTCTGGTCAATACTGTAATCAGATTCACAACCACATTTAATTGTGTTTTCTGGAGCACAAATCTAATTAGAGACTGAAAGCTAACATCCTGCTAATAATATTCCATTACTTGGTTTTTCGTAGAACTCTCCTGGTTTTATATGGTGTTTATTTTGGAGGAATATAATAATCCCTCCTTAAAATCAGAGCAGACTAAGCTCTGGTTTCAGACAGAGGGTGAACAGAGGTGCTGTAGCACAGTAGAGCTGCACGATTTGGGGAAATAATTTATTTTTCTATAATTTTTCTGACAGATATTGCGATTCAATTTGCTATATATATATATCATCTAAAAGGACATCCACAGGAGAGTGTTTCCATAGATACAACACATACACAGAGACAGTCACACACACACACACACACAGACACACACCTGCAAGTCTTTCTCTCTGACCCAGTTCACAGTTCATTTAATAAAATATAACACACTCTTCACTGATTGTACCTAAATTGTCCATCGTTGCTTCTGGCTCGGCTGAAGCCATTTATCCACACGTTGCTAGAAACGTCTTCACACATGGTTTCGCGTGCAGTGTTGTTGTTGGGCGTATGCGTAGTTACCTTGGGCCACTTCTGATCGGTTAACAATGGCTATTTTTCGTACATTACAAAGAAAAATCTCAATTTCAATTTAAAATCGATTAATCGTGCTGCCCTCCAGCACAGGCAGTATGAGCAAAATCAATAGCTTTTTCAACATTAAAGCATCGAAATGGTCACAGAAGAGAAACAAAATATGGGCACAAAGAAGTTAATAAGTGTAACTACCATGGCAACAAATCATAATAGATCTTAACATTGTGTGTCCCACTGATCAAATAATTTACATGAATGAGTTCCCCGCTGTCCTTTGTTCTCTCCGTCCCGTTTCTCTTGTGTTGCTGCTTCCTGTTGTGAAGCCAAACTGGAAAACGCATTACAAGCTCTCAGTCTTTGCCCACTTTTATATGTTTTATTCATGTCCAAATCGCACCATCGTTGTTGCTGCAGGAGGATCCAATAGAGGCTCCTCAGCAGCGATATGTAGGGCAGCGCGGTTGTGTTCGGTTGCATCAGGTTCAGAGGTGTAAACACATGTGACCCCTTTAAAATCTGGAGCGATTTTAGCACAGATTTCTCAGGGAATGCGGAAAGTTATATTTGTTCTATTTGCTCTATTACTTAATTGTACGTCTATTAAACATGGAAATACGATTTTAATTCCTGTTGATACATTAAATAATACATGTTTTATGCAATGTTCCAGTGTTTTACATATTCATTTTAACATTTCGGGCTTAAAACGACACATACAAGCTCTGAAGAAGTTTCTAAATTGTACATTTGACTTCAAAAACGGTTCAGAAATTGATCCAATGGTTAAAATTGTGTGATAAAATACTGTTTTCTCGCCTGGGACTGGCAGACATCTTCGTAAAACAGTCCCATTTGTAAAATTCAAGTGGCCAACTGGGTGTTGTTTTTTTAATAAAAGGCCCCAGATGGATACACACGGACATTTTGGTGCTTATATCCACTTTTGAAAGATGGGAACAGCTATCTGCGGCACTAAAGCAACCATCTCTTCCTCTGTGGTGATAAACTCAAACAAATACTTGTTATAATGTGCCTCCTGTGACAGATGGAGATGGGAAGAAGGACATCTGACAGTATTTCAAACACAATGCACCATTAATAATGAAGTTATCGGCCCATATGTGCAGCTATCATTTATCCCAAACTGTTGTTGTGACATCTCACTTTCTTTGCCGTTTTTAAACTTAGTAATTAATCATAAAACGGTTTCAAAAAGACCGCTTAGTTTTTTTAACAACAGAAGGAGGTGTACACTTCTGAATTTCCAATAAGTTGGAGAGCTCTATTGTGCCAGAATTAGTTTCACGCTAATTTGCATCTGGAGTCTCTTGGCATGACTTGCAGCACTTACCAAACTAAACAAGACGCATACAACTACAATAATCGGCAACAGAAACATAATTCACAAAACACAGACAAGGATAACATTATTGATTATCATGTGGAATCATTTACTGAATGGAAGTCCCATTAAAAGTGAGTTGTTGATATTCTGGCACAGCATTAATTAGTTTGTACAAGTTTTCCCATTTGGTTCGCCTCCACTTTATAATCAAGGTTTTCAGTTAACCTTAAAGAGGTGTTTTGGGCTTTTATCTTTCCTGGAGTGTTATATTGGTATTTCTGAATGTAAATGGTCTGCAAAGGGTTAAAATCCTTGTGTTCCCATGCCTGAAACTCCTCCATCGGACTCCTTTGTTTACATAGTCCGGAAAATACGGTGCTTTGATATCGGAAACTTTGACCATCGTCTCAGAACACACAGCTTAAAGAGGCCCTATTCTGCTTTTTGGGGTGTTCCCTGTGCTCCGACACATTGTACGTAGGCTAAGGGGCGGGACATCTCTAAGCGGTTGACCAATCACAATAGAGCCGATCAGCTAACCAATCAGAGCAGACTGGGCTCTGGTTTCAGACAGAGGGTGAAAAGAGGTGCTGCGGCACAGGCAGTATGAGAAAAAGAGCTTTTTGAACATTAAAGCAAGGAGACATGTCCCTGGAGAGACAACCTGAAAATGAGCAGGACGCGTCCTCTTGAAGGTCTTGTTTAAAAACATAATAAAAGAACACACACTGATTGTGTCTAAGGAGGGGAAACGGCATCACATAAATAACGCCACGTGTTAATGGACTGTTTAAGTGGTGTGTGTGTCACCTTGTTACTTCACAGGGTGTTGAGTCTGCTCTGCATGCTCCCTCCACACACTCTCTCACACACACACACACACACACACTCTGCTGGGTTTTACTCATTGTTGTATCTGAGCTTTACAACCTTGTTAACAGCGTGTTGGAAAATAGCAGCTAAATATCTGCGGCTGAGAGATAAACTATCCTCTCCGCTGGAGACAGCAGGACCTCCAACATTACACCGTGTATTTATGGACCGGCTCGCATAACATACATCAAATAAAACTAATCTTATTGATGCATGTGTTGCTTTTCATCGTCACAGATTGATTTGGTATCCCACATAAAATACTTTTGTTTGATTGTTTGCAGCCATGACCTCGTGGGTGTTAACCGTAACGCTGTGTTCATTCTCTGTCTTTGAATGTCCATTTTTCTAAATTACGTTAGCTTTACAGTTGTGTATATGGACTAATAAAGTATTCCCTTGTGTCCTGACCTAGATGTCCACTCTGGAGCAGGAGGGGGAGGAGGTGGTGGGACAGGCTCGATGCCCCTTTGAGTCCCGCCAGTCCAACGTCGGCCTTTTTGCAGGTGAGTCATTTGAGCAATGAAAAGTCTTGTGATTTAATTATTTTAATTAACTCCCACAGCGTCTGATCTGTGCCCTTCCTCCTCTTCAGTGTCCTCAATGTTCCCGTTTTATTAAGATTCCCACATTTCAATTCAATGTATTGACAAAAAGTTCAATAATCAACAGAATGAAGATTTGGAATTGGGACACACTTGTAAGCCAAACTAATCTTGAGGAAAGGAGTCAGACACTAAACAGAAAGTAGTTAGATTATGTATTACTAACATCAGAAACAGTTTAGAGCACATGTGTCAAACTCAAGGCCCGGGGGCCAAATCAGGCCCGTGGTGGATTTAATTTCGGCCCGCAGGATCATTTCTAATTCCTATTAGATCTGGTCCGCCGGTATATTGCACGCACACCTTCACTCCATCCTGAGGGTCTCCTCAGCTCAGAGCCTGAGCTCAAACATTGATGACCTTGCACCCAAGATGAGATGCCAAGTATCTGAGCTAGCATCACAGAGCAGCACACTGAGTTTAATGGATGTTTCCTTCTGCACTTTCTCTCTCACGACAACAGGACATGTTTGGTTTGTTCTTTGAGGGGAATAGTTTTTTTGAAGCTGTTGTTGGCCTGTGGGGAAATGTACTCATGACAGATAGAGCCATAAGAAATGACTCTTCAGATAGAGCCATAAGAAATGAATGTAACTGATTATTTAATGTTGTTTTTATAGGCAATCATTTAAGCTTTGTTAGTTCCAGGTTTAATATGTGCAATAAGTTCATTTCAATAAGTTCTGCAATAAACATTGAACCAGTCCGGCCCTCGACTAGCACCCATTTTTGAATTTTGGCCCACTGTGTATTTGAGTTTGACCGCCCTGGTTTAGACGCATTACAAATAAAAAAAACACCTAAAACTAACCAAATACCAGGGGGTGACTTACCCTAACTACTACATGTTACAAACAAATCATCTCATCAGTCGTATTTATATTAACCGGTGTTAAAGGATGTTTTCACCGGTAATTGTCACAATATGTGAGGTTGAATACAATTGTAAGTAATGCCGACCTGCCTTTCGAGGCTCTTCCGGTGATGGTTTAGTGAAGAGAGCCAGTCAAACATTTTAAAATGTTAAAGGTCCTGAATGTCATAATTTAATCAAGTGTTTTTTATTTAAACATAAATATGTGTTGTATTCCCTACGGAGGGATTTAGACCTTACTAGTTATTACAGCATTGAGTTTGAGAGAAATTCTATATACGTCATTTAACATTTAACTTTTTTCAGTTTGACATTAATGCAGTTCGAATGCTTATTGATTTTAAACTACTTACATGTATTGATAATGTAGCTTTGACAGAGATGAATGCACACTTGATGTTTGCTGTGACTCGTTGCATTGCTGATTATATGTTATGGAAACATTAGCATTGGTTGCCTAAAATGTCATGTCCTAAAACATGCATTACCAATATTGTTGGGGTCATTAAATACTTCTTTTCCCATTCAATATTGATATATATTAGGGATGGGAATTTGAAAGCAAATGTATATTCGAATATTCGACCCCCAAAAAAACGGTTAACCGAAATGTACATATCCTATAAAAACAAAACGTGAATATTCGATTAATCGTTCCCATCCCTAATATATATGCAGAAATCATAACTTCTATTAAAGTATCCCACCCCTGAGTTGGCCATACACGTAGTCTTAGTCATAGACCTGTGATCTCATTGAAAAATAACTTCAGACATTTTGATTAATACGTTTCAAAACGTATAAGAAAAATGTCAAGTTTCAAGGTAAGAATTGAACAAGGTCATGTACAGGAAATAAATAAACATTACAATACCACAAAATAATAAGTAAGAGAATAAAATACATGTTGAAAATCACAATACAATTGATGTCATCATTTTTCAGAATAACCAAAAAACATAATCGCTTTACGCTGAAGTTAAGATTTTTGATAAGCTTTGGGTATTGCAATTTCACACGTGTACAAAATGTAGCTTAATTCAACTGATGAGTGCTATGTGAATTAATGCAAGCGATGTGATGAAAGTAGCTCTCTGATCAAGAAAGGTTGGAGACCCCTGGTTTATACATATTACAAAAGTGGAAGAAGAAAATTACCTCTGAGAATGTTAAAAATAAATATATACTCCTAAACTTAACTACATGTTAACTACAGCTACACCCTTCCTAATTTATCTGGGTGATTAAGTATGAGTGCTCGCTTTTATCCCAGGCTGTAATCTGAAGTTGCCCCTCGATGGACTTTAATGTGAGGTTGGGTTTTCTGTGCTAATGATAGCAGAGAGAAGCTGATACTATGTGAACAGAGCCAGACTCGCTCCTGCCAGGTTTCCACTGACATTTATGCAAAGTTCACACAGGGTGTTATTAAAAGTGACACTTTCTCATACATCGGCTATCATCTGCCTCTTTCTAAAGGGCAGAATAAAAGTCACCTGTGACCAAAATAGACGCTTCAAAGAAGTGGGTTGCTCCTGGGAGTTATGATCCCTGACAATGTAATATCAAATCACCTTTTTCTGTCTTTTTTTCTTATCTCAGGTGGTGATTTCTACTCGGCCACCATGACAGACTTCTTGGCGAGCGATGCAGTGATTTACCGAAGTCTGGGAGAAAGCAGCCCAGTGCTGCGTACCGTCAAGTACGACTCCAAATGGCTGAGAGGTGAGCGAACAGCATGTGAAGGAAGATATTATAATGCGCAGCGAGCCGCTCATTAATGTGAGAAGGATCCCGCAAAGCTGCAAATGATCCCACCTATTACACTGCTGCGTACTTAATAAACCAACAATATGACTCACGAAACTGACTTAAAGATTATATTGATTTAAAATGTGACAAAGTGATTACCGCAGCACTGACAGAGGTTTTC